CTGTTAAATTCAAATAAACTTTTTTAATGAATTAATGCCCTACTTTATAAAAAAAAAAAAAAAAAGTGTCACACAAAAGCTGTGAAAATAGTAGATCTAGTTTAACACATCATATTGGGTAATATAGCAGACAGATAAGCTAACAAAATGTCCAATAAAGGAAGTTTTAGACAAACAAGGTTTCCATTCCAAAGCAAACACTTCCTGATCTACTATGAATTATTCATTACACACAATCAATAAAATCTGCATTGCTCCAAAATAAAGCAAAGAATAAAAACATTATTTCTGAGAATTTACCCCTGTTTAATTCATTTACCAGTTACTGCTGCTCAGGGGTCAAAGTAGATTTAAATTCAAAGGGTTTTGATATTAAATAAATACAGAGAGAACCTACATCACTGCTTTGTAATGCAGTGGCAAACCAGACCTAAATAGAATGAATATGCTAACAAAAATGTTGAAATATTTAAAGAAAACTCAGAAAATGATTTGAAGAAAATGTTTTGACAAAAGAGAACATTTGCATCATATTCAAATAGAAACGAAAACAATTAGAAAGAAATGTTCAAAGATCTATGCACCTTTTCATCTGGATCTTTATCCAAAGATGAACAGAATGCAATTAAATATTTGCTTTGGATATAATTCAGGGATTCCTTTTGGTAGAAATTAAAAGTTTTAGCTTCACCTCTTGTGAGCTGGAAGAAATTAAATCTTGATAGTTAGATAAAGGTTTTTTTTTTTTTCGCTTGACAGAGGATGATATAGTTTATTAAGTAGCAAGAGCAGAAAGAGCCATACTGCTGAGGGCAAACCATCAGAGTGGAGCCTATGCGCAGACTCTGAGCTAAGATACTGTGTTTTTTTGGGCACGAAAACGCATTTCTGCAAAAGCACAGCTGGAGCTTCAGAGTTTATCAAAGTTCAGGAAGCAGGAACGAACCATTCCGGCTTATTTTCTCAGACCCTGCCGGTGCTGCCATGATCCATCTGTGCTCCTGCAGAATGTGCAATGCTGTGCAGCAGGTGGGTGGCAGGATCAAACAGGACGACTGATACTGCTCAGCAGATTACAGCATGATGATGCATTTTAGACGTGTGACCGACCACTTTTTTCACTTTTCGTTATCGTCATGAATAAGTTGTAATTTAAAAGCTGTAATTTATGGCGACCTGTTAAAGTTTCAGAAATGTTCTGTTTTATAACGTGAACATGAAGATAGTGAGGTGACTGACACATTAGGTCTACGTATCCTACACAATGTTAAGCTGTTTCATAAAAGAACTGATGAGTGAATGAGAAGTGGTTAATTCTCTCATTACAGGCCATATTTGTGTCATGAGAGAAGAATGATCCCCAGTCATCAGATTTCATACTGAAATTTTGCACAATGTGAAAACCCACTGACCTAATTTGGAGTTTGTAACACGTTTCTGCTCCACTTGGCTCCTGAGAGCCCAGAGCAGCAGCAGTCTGGCCTCCTGGTTTTTGATGTGCTCTTGGAGCTGCAGCAGTCGCTCTCGCTGAGAAGCTTCCTGGTCCTGCTTCAGATCATGCTGCTTCCGGTAACGCAGCTGATGCTCCTGCAAATATGACCAAAAGAGCCCCTTACACTGCCACTTTCACACAGAGATTGGAGGTAACCTTTTTAGAACAACAGACATGTGCAAAAGCAGATCTGGAAAGTGAATTGGCATGCTGCACAACTCTAGTGCCATTTAACATTGCTTCTCAACACAATTACTAAAAGGTAAATGTCCTTTTCTCATACCAATCACCTAGAAATAGTCAGAAAATGTCTTTGCCACTTTTCTGCAACAAAGTCTTGATTTTTTTATTCCAAACTTCATTGTTGATCCCAAATAGAGATGCTGTAGTAGTTAACCAGTTATTAAATATGTTAATAGCTGTAAGCAGCAAGGTCTGCATTGGTCTGTCATGATGTGGGTTGTCATGGCAACGGGTCTATAGTCAGTGAGGACTGCTGGCCGAGTCTTGTTTGGTCCTGGAACAAGGCGGGAGGTCTTCCACATCTCTGGAACTCCAGGGTCTGACTAAGGGGGAAGAGGTGCTGTAGAATCCCACAGAGCTGTTCTGCTCAGGCCTTCAGGACTGACTTCTGACTTCTAGAGACAGACAGGTGGAAGGTGGAGGGAGCAGCACCATCTGCTGATATGACTGATAAACTAATAGCAGGAGAGAGAATATCAGAGGAGGGCAGGATGTCCATGGGACTGTGGGCAGGAGAGAAAGATGCTGAGCTTCTTCCTGAACTGAACCTGTTGATGAATGGATTCAGTTCATTGGTTATCTAT